ATGATCTAAAGAAAGAGATGGAGAATGTCAGCATCCTTGGAAAGCTGTCAGAAAGTTGAGCATCTTTGTTCAATCTTTTTGACTCTTTAATTTCATCCTCACCAAAAGAGAATTACACTGATATAAAGAGCAAGCCACCCCAGATTATTGCTACTATGGATTGCTGGAGTTTATTGCTGTACCATAACCACTAGATATGTTACAGCAAAACTTAGTGACTTCGCTATGTTGTATTCCCAAAAAACCCCTAAAATCTCTGAATCGAACTCTCATGTCTTCTCTGTATTGAAAATAAATCATAAGAAACTACTCACAAAAAATATTGATGCTACATAGGAAAGAGATCCGTATATATTTCTTAGTCCTTCCTTTTCCCTTAAAGGAAAGAATTTGTCAAATGAGGAAGATTTGGTGCTGCACTTTGACAGAAAGAAAAAGGACTGTGTTGTATACAATGGGAGGAATGCATTTCTGGCTGATCAAAAGCCTGAAATTTCCTTTTCCTGGGAAGGGAAAAACACAAAGTTAAAACACAGCAAAATTATGGTCCTTGTCTGTTAGTTCTTTTTCTAATTGGTTCAATGTTGGTAACTTATTTAAGGTATGGGCTGTATAAAAGTGCTCTGGAAGACATAAGTCAAGTGCTCAGTAGAAAATCTAAAGGAGATGTCCAACCACATGCTTAATATTGTTTGCACTAGATGTTTTGTCTTGTTCAATAATCACTGTTATGGTTCTCTACATTAATTACTCTTATCACATTAATCCTTGCCATGTCATTAACAATATCCATAAGTAAAAATCATGACACAAAATGCTGTTACCTGACTCAGACTAGAATGTATTAAAGTAAATTTTTGTAATACACAGGCGGAAAGAAAACACAATAAAAGCTTTTCAGGGAACTCTTTCAACAAAAAGCAAAGGGTGTCAGATGATTAATGCCATGATAAAGCTGTAGGAATGAATATTTGATAGAATACCTGAGAAAAATGAATGATTGTTGCTACATATGACAGAAGATAGCCTACCCTTAGGAAAACAGGAAATGAAAGACTGATAACACAAGCAAGGTATTTCATATCATTTCAATGAAACTCATTTAATGTAACCTAAAACTTTAAAAACAAATTTCATAAAAGTAAAAAGAAACCACTCTTTATTTTTCAGTTAGTAAGTATATCAAAAAGGCTGTTTATATTTTTAAATGCCAGACCACTTCAGATTCTCCATCTTTATCGCATCTTTGTGTTTGTGATGTGTTTGCAATGTTTCTTGAACTCCTAGAATACCTAGAATAGAGAGGGCACAGGGAAAACCTTTTGTCTTGTAGGTTATCTTAGATTTTGCCATATTCCAGGGTTTTTTCTGTAATAGAGGAGGAGATGCTTGAAAAAGAAGGGCAAACTCTTTATTTTTTTTCTTCTCCACATCAATTTTTGTCTGCAATTCCACTAGGTATTTCACTTGCCACGTGAAGGATGGTGCCTTTGTATGAGGGTCTCTATTGCTAGATGAAAAATCAAAGTGCTAGTTCTTTTCAGGGGGAGATGACTGTATCTCAGACTAAAATTCAGAGGAAATAGATCTGCAAAGAAAAATGTAGGTGCAAGTTATAATCTTCCTTGGGGAGTTCAGATTCTTTCCTACAATGTGTAAAATTATTCTTCAAGAATCTGTGAATCTTTCCAATAACTTCAGGTTTCTAAATGTCTTGCTAGACCTGATATTCAGGGATTATTCTGAGATGCAGATGTGGTTTCCTTACTCTTTAACATTTTTTTATTCCTGAAAATGATTCAAAATTTTTAGGGCTTTATTGCTACCAAGTTATTGGTGCAGTAGCAGCAATTGCATGGTTAAGGGAAGAAGAAAGAGTAGTTATTACATAAGGCAACACCTTTTAATTGCTACATCCAAAATTCATCTTACTATCTCTGCTGACTGAAAGTCAGCTGCAGCATTTTCTCCCAAACTGGCCTTTTAAAGCTGAAATGGCAGTCTCAAGTATTTCCTGAAATCATCAGGAAATATTTAAAATTATATTTATATATTCCTGATTTTATATTAATTCCATTTATTCATTCCTGATTTCATACTACTAAGAATGCTTCAGGGAAATTGTATTGGAGCTTCCTTTCTTGGAATGATACAAAAAATAACTATCATGTTTCTACCAAGGGCATATGGGACTGGAAGCTTCTCATTATGAAACATTGGTTAATGATAAGGTGCTTAAATTTCCTAGGCAAAGCAAACCAAGTTATCCCAAGAGTATTGGCTCTTAGAAACTGGGAAATCAAAATAACTAAAAAAATTTAAATACTTCTACAGTCTTGGTCTACTACAGACTCTATAGACTCATCTATTTATTTAGATGAATTTAATTAGAATGAATGTTCTACTATAGTTACTTGAGCTTAAATCAATAAAGCTTTCTTTGTGTGGAGGAGTAAATTTAGACTACAAACTATGACTTATTCATATTTTATAGTAGCAGTCAGTCTAGAAAGGAAAAAAAAATGGCAGAGGAGACTAATTTTTTTTGTAATGAAAACTCAGGTTAAAATAGTGAACTTCTGGTGTTCAGAATAGTTTATAAAATTATTCACTAGGCCATGTCACTGTGAGAATTTAATCCAGACAGGAATTCAGTTAGGAATTACCCTAAACTACTTAAAAATGGTAGCATTACATTTAATTATGTGATGTGGTCAAACCTATGTTCAGAATTCTTTGGCTGACGCACACTTTGCGTGCATGAGTCTCCCTGTGGCTGCAAAGCTATGTCGAGGCATTGATAACAAATCCTGAGCTCTGGGCTGCTATGGCAACAATGGCAGCGTACAGGAGTCAGCTAATTTTAGACTAGCTTGGTATGTCTACAAAGATTGTAGTTATGCTGTTGCCTCCAGTAATAACATAACCTTGGTTCACTTGAGCATTTTAAAATATGAAGCAAATCCTGAATACCTAAAAGTGATATTTATATGTATATTCAGTGTGACTGGATGTTTGAGCAACTTCAGACTTCTTTTTTTTTCCTTTTTGCTGTATATTCTAAGATATATTGCAGTAATCAAATGCAAGGCATAAAAAAAAAGGACTTTCATGACCAGAATACATACCTGAGGCAAAACCAATCTGCTTGAGATTTCTTTCCATATTTAGTAGATTGAAAATCCAATAATCTCTTTGACAAGAATGTTAATGTCCATGCTTGTCCCCTGGGAATCGATGAAATTTTCCAAGTAGGTATAATATTCATAGGCAACAGTTATGACATGAAGATGGGAATGGAGCATCTAATTTTTACATGAGTGGGGAATAACAGTGCAGGGATGGAGGTCACCTTGAATTTCAACTGATACATGTCACAGACTTCTCTGGTCTGGACAGAATGACGAAGTGCTTTGTGCAGGTAGACCTGCAGATAATTTATGGCCTTCAGCAGTCTGCTTGCACTTTCTCTGTATTGCTGATGGCATGTCAAAATTAGAATTTCATTGAAGACTAATGTCAGTAAGCTGTTATAGCAAGAATGGATTTTATCAGGATGCTTGAGGAAATGAATTAGAGAATTGAGCTGAAAACTGTCACAGTAGGTTCTAGAATACAATACCAGATACTCTGACGCAAGCAAGAAGAATATTGTATTGATTTTATTATTTTAATTATAGACTGATTTAACAAAATGTGCTTGCAGATCTGTCTGATCATAACGGTTTTGATGAGCTATATATGCTATCTATTTTGGAAGCTGCTTAAGAAACTTAGATTGGGAGACCTAAATTAAGTATGTTTGGTTTGTTTTTTCTGACATTTCCCTCAATATTAAAGCATGGTTTATTTTAATGTAAACAGAAGTCTGCCTTGATCTCACAGCTGAGAATAGCAGTGATTCCCTTGCCAACAAATTAGCTAAATAGTTTCAATTTACACACCTTATTACCATTTCATCTTGGGTTAGCTAAATAACACTGCTATTGAGCAAAGTACCTTGTTCACAAAGAGTTGCATGCGTAGGAGAATTTAATTTCTAAAAAAACAAACCTAAATCAGCACTGCTTGACTTTCACTAATGCAAGAAAAAAACCCAGCTTGATTTATAAAATGCTTGGATTAAAACATTGCCAATCTACATGGCTGCACCTCCACACATGCTTTCTGAACCTGGGGAAGATGGTCTGCTGTGATGTGCCCTAAATGGCTCAGGTGACAATTGTTGCTAAACAGCACACTGTTAGAGCAGAGAATGCAGTAATAGCATTCCCCAGTTACAGCACAAATACTTGAAGATTTTGCTGCATATTGGAAATAAGAGAGTGACTCTTCCTTACAGTGGCAGCAGCCTTGCTGGTTGTTTTTTTATCCTTTGTACAAGAGGGTTATTCCAATGTGTTGGAATGTGTTTTATAGCCTCTGAGACAGACCTTGACTAAACATATTTAGGACTATAACATTGATTCAGGTCTGGGGTGCTACATCTGGTGGTGCTCTCTTTAATCATTGTGTATTCGTGGTTTTCCTGCTGTGACAAGACAAGGTTGTAGTGGAAATGGGGAAGGGGTTTTGTATGCAAGAAAGGAGAGGAAAGTTCCAGAGAGACACTTTTTGAAATTATCCTCTTGACCCTCTGAGCATTAATTTTTTCTCTCTCTCTTTTTCTCCTTCTCTCTGTTTGTTCTCTTCACCTCACTTCACCAAGTGGTCTTCTTACAGATTTGAGGGTGGTTCTGATTTATTTTTGATTTTTTTTTCCTGATGATACCTGAAAATTTTTGGTTTCATCATAGAAACAAAGCAGGAAACAAAGAGTTTTTGAAAAATGATCATTTGGCCCTAGAGCTGGTAGAAGAAAAGAGTTTCCCAAGTTGGATAACAGAATGCAGCGTTAGGACTACTGTAACTGAAATATATCTCAGAATTTGATGGAATGTTTGTAGGAGTAGTATTTTCACTATTTGTGCTATTAGCACATTCTTTAATCTGTTTTTCAGAAATGGACATATGTGATAATATGAAGGGGACAGAAAGCAAGGTTGGTGATTTTCGCTACACAGAATATAATTTTGATGAAGGTACTGACAGCTAAAACAGTAAGTAGCCCAACAGACCACTGTACTAGAGGAGGAAATACATTTATCTCTCAAAACTAGCTCAAAATCTACTGACTAGCTTATGATCCTTTCACTGCTGAATTGAAAAATCTGAATTTACCTTGTGTTGGTGAGATGACACATTAGGCATATTGGATCAATTCCTGAATGCAATTGTTTAGAAAACAACATGCAACAAGAAGTTGTGTGAACAAATCCAGCACAGAAAAATTGCTTCATCAGTTAGCAGAAACTACAATCTGATACTTTCCTTTATGCAAAAGCTCAGAGGATCCAAAGAAGTGATTAGGAAAATAAATATTTATATCTTTAGAGAGATGAGATGGAAATACAACCCAAACAACTTTTACTGATTACAAGAGGAATAAGGCACTACTCTCTGCTAGCCTAGAAATTTATATAGTTTTGAAAATAAGTTAGCACAAATAGCTGGTGAGTTTGGAAAACATAAGCAAGAAATGCAAAAAGGAAGTATGGCTGCTAGACTTTGAAAGAAACCCCTGAGATGTAAACTTGGCTTCTGTTCAGATTTTTTTCTGTACAAACGTGTGCAAGGTCACTTCTCTATATGCTGTCTCTTTCATTTGTAAATTAAGAATAATACCTGCCTGCTTAGATTATTTATGCTGAAGATTAATTAAAATTCATAGAATCACTTTTAGAATTTAATGTTGTAAAACTGCTAGAAGATTAGTAATTTTGATATAGAGGATACTTGTGATGAATAGTAAGAGGAAAGAAACAACACATACCTAAATGGCTAATGGAGTTAGAAGAAATTACAAAGCTCTGCTTAGCCTTTGTGGTGGACTATGTTCCTGAATTTCGTACCTTTTTTTCTGAAAAGACCTAAGTTTTATGAATTATTGCTCCTTCTTTTTATTTTTTTTTCTTCAAAATAGCCGTTAGCTGTACAGCCAAACATGCACACTATGAGGCTTTTAATAAGAAAGTGGCTTTTTCATGCTGCAGAAGTCTTACTATGACTTTAAATCATGGGTTGGCTCAAAGAATTTTAACCAATTCTAATATGGGAAACTGACTATCAATTGCAGTGGAAAAGGATACCCCATTTTTCTTCAAGCAGTCTAACTTGAAAGGAATACTTTTGCAGGAGAATTTTCTTTGCAGATATTGTGACCATTTTCTAATCAGGGAAGGGGAAGAGGAGACTGAGTCCTTAAATATTTTTGCATATACTGTTTCCTGGAACAGCCAATCACAGACTGCTGTTTGAAATGGGTCTTTTTGTGACCACTTGTGGAACAGTATCAATACATTTTGATTAAAATGTGGTTGGGTCTGGTGGGTTGGCCTTGGATGCCAAGTGCCCCCCAAGCAGCTCTGCCATTCCCCCTTCTCACTTGACCTGGAGAGAGAAAATAAAATGGGAAAGAACTTGTAGGTTGAGATAAGGCCGTTCACTGGAACAAAAGAGAAAGGTTGTGCATGCACAAACTAAGAAAAAAAGAAAAAGGTTTTGTTCTCTGCTTCCCATCCATGAGCGAAGTTCAGACACATCCTGGGAAACAGGACTTCAGCACATGTTTGTCTCCAAAAGACAAACATTGCAAACAACAAATGCCTCCTCTCACACCTCTTTTCTTTTTAGCTTTTATATCTGAACAGGTGTCATGCGCTATAGATGATTCTCTGGGTATTTTGTGTCATCTGTCCCGGTTGTGTCCCCTCCCAGGATCCTGCCCCTCGATGGGGGAATGTTGGGAGGCAGTGCTGAGGCTCCGCCAGCCCTGCCAGCAGCAGCCAAAGCCCTGGGCTGTCACCAGCTCCTTTCCAGCTGCCCGGGCAACGCACAGCACCATGAGGGCTGCTGTGGGAAAACACACATGAGGTATGTCTGGGAACATTCAAATAATAGCACTGCCTGACAGGTTCTTTTGGTCACCTAGATACTAAACGTTGCAGACATAAAACTCAATAAAAAGGTAATGACTGTTCATAAATGCAGTATATTCTTCAAGTCATCTGTGATAGTTCTCAATGAGTGTTAGATTCTATTTGATTTTAGAGACATCAGGCCACAATATTGTCAGATTTTTTTATAACGTTATTTCCATTTCTTAGAAGCATTAATTTGGTTCTTTTTAGGCTATTGTGTAGCATCTCTGTGTATACAAGTTCTAGAAAATAGCAATTTTTTAAAGTAGGACTGGAAAATCCACTCAGAGTTTATATATGATCTGCTCTGTAGTGTTTTATTTGTAACAAAACTGATAAAAAACAGTATCAGTTCTTGGTTTTGAACAGAATCAGTGCTTTATAACGCTACTGCATCTTTCTTCCTTCCTTAGTGCATATTTCCTTATATTTCCATATAATGGTACTGTAATGTATATGTAATAATATACTGATACAAAATGAAACTTTATAATGAAGTCAGAAATATTTTTGAACAGCAAAAATGATATATCTTAATAAATTTCAAATACCTAGTGATAGCTCTTCTCTTTGATTTGCAAAATTCATTGAAGGAATATTGGAGTTTTTCGTATCTGGAAGTCCTAACTGTACTGTACTATCATTTAAATGCATTTCTCTAGCCATGGATTTTCAAATTAAACTTAATATGGGTAATCTTTTAACTGCATTAAAGGTTTGCTGCTAGTTCTTTTCTTCTTACAGGATTGTCATCATCATAAGTTATACATAGTAAAAATAAAAACATGCAAATATATTTCACTGACAAATGAGAAAACCCACCATTATATTATTAAGATTTTGAATTAATAGTCAGTAGTTATCACCAGTGACACATTTAATTTCCTTCTTGATCCTATATTCTTTTCTTTCAGTGGAAAATATCTGTACATATCCTATTTTCAGAAGTGTTCATTTCCAAGGATTCAATTCTTCAACTGCAAATGATTTCCTTGTTTCTTTACTTTAAATTCTTCCTGCATAAAATTCTTTGCAACCTTTTTCATAGTGCTTAAAAAGGTTCTACATTTTTTGATAAATGGCTCCCTCCTTGTTAACATTTAAAATAACCCATACATAGAACTAATAATTAGTACACTCCCTATATCTAACCTCTGTACCAATCAATTATTTCTAGGCATGCCATCAATTCAAATATAGCCTGAGTAAATGTTTACAAAGGTGCCAGGTGAGTTTTGAACAAGGTTCAGGCATTCCCCATAGTATTCATGCTTTGTAAAGCACTTGGACTTGGGAGCTGCTGAGCAACAGATACTTGAGACACAGAAGGTAGGAAAAAATAGTGATTCTGTCAAATCAAATAGGAAACAAATAGCAATAAACATCCTACCTTTTTTTGTATATTGAGTAAAAAAAATCTAGATATTGCCACAAACATTGTCCTTGCTGATTTTAAATAGATGAATTGCTAGTCAGTCAAGTGTTGTGATTGTCACAATCTACTCTGCACTGATGTGGCCCCACCTCAATTACCCCATGCAGATTTGGGAGATGTGACTCAAGAGAGCTCTAAAGGAGAGCCACAGAGATGGTGGCCTTGAGGGGAAGCCATATGAGGAGCTCCCATTTGCTCTTCACACTCTTAGTAGCAACTCATTTTCTCTGCTTCATGTGAAAAAAAGCCTCTTTTCCAGCAAACTACTTTTCCAGCAAACAGTCTTTCATTAAAGCTTTATTTTTCTGTGAAGTTTTGCGCAAATCTGTAATTAGTTTCTGAGTTCCAGTCAATTAAATACTGGCCTAGAATAGCTCCTGTTTAGGTCTCATGGTATTTTGGGTCTCTGTGGTCTGAGGGTTAGACTGTGCAGAAAGTAAAAAACTGCAGAGGAAACATTACTTGGTCTCTTTGGGTTATGTAATCACTTAGTTACCTACCAAAATCCCAAAAAATGTTCACTGAAAGAGAAAGATTTGCAACAGCTGTGTAGTACATCGTGTGCCCTCCTAGTTCAATCACTTTAATAGGGATATAAACCAAGCTGTGATTTTGTAAATGTCGAAAGGATTTTTTTTTTGTAAAATACAATTGCTAATACTGCATTGGTTTTATTTTTGAAAATGCAGTGTAAATTATTTTTGAAGCTTACTGTGTTTGCACTTTTTCCTTGATATGAGACATGACATTCATTTTATTCAGTTCCTGTCAGTTTAACATTAACATCAGCTGTATTTATTACAGTGGATTAAATGGTGCATTTGTAGATGAAAGGAAGTATGGTTGATATGGCCTCAATAACAGAGGGTGTAGAGCTTACTCTATTGGAGTATTCTCAAAAAAGGAAGGAAACAGACTGAAGGTAGAAAAAATATCTCTGTTGTACTTTGTGCTGGGAAACAGCAATTTTATGACCTTAAAATAAGAACAAAATAATTCATAGTTCTCACATTGGGCCAACTTTTTAAACTACAATTGAAAGCCACTGATCTGACCTATTTTGTTTTGTTTTGTTTTCCTTCTTGTTGAATGCCTGTGTTTCAAATATGCTAATACTATCATCCACTATCTTTGTGGTCTACTAAAATTGCTATTATTACTGCTATTATGTTTTCTTATTATTAAGAAAGTGGCGGGATGCACAGCATGTTTTGCAAAGGTTAATTGATCTAACTTCTCACAACTCATAGAAACTAGGATTAGCAAAACTGAAGAGAGTATAGTCCCTTTGTTGAATGATATGGGACAGAAAATTGAGCTTGTGAAAGCCCAGTTTTTGCTGAATGAAAGACTTCTGCATTCAGAAGACCATTTCTCTGTCCTGGTCAGAGCTAGGGTTTTTAAGTCACAGCAAGGAAGTTGTTTGGAATTTTTTTTTGCCTTTTACAAACTCTTTTCTTCAAGGTTTAGGCAAACTGAATTTACATGTGAATATAGGCAAGTGAGTTGGTTTAGGATTTAACATTACTAGTAGATACTTTTCAAAGAAAATGGATGCTTAATTTCTCTATACTTTTGCATTGTGTCTGCATTTTTCTTGCTTTTCTCTTTTAAAAACTCTTCCTTCTGCCTAGCTTAGTGTCAAGATCAGGTTACCAGCTTCGCAACTTGGCTGGCTGGGGAGCTGCTCCCTGGGCACCAAAGCCAATGAGTTCTGGTTGCCTGCAGCTCTGTGTCCTTTCTCCCTCCATCCCAGCTGCAGCACCTCTAACTCTCCCTCACTCTGCACCTTACTGATCTTCTATTTTTCCAGGCTCCTGCTGGTGAGCATGGACTGTAACTCATTCCAAGCCAAGTGCTTAGGGCCATCTGCTAGGCTTAATAGACAGGCCAGTCCTGCAGTGTTTAATTGCATGAGACTGGAATTCCAGCACCCTGAAATTAACTTGCAAAACTCAATTCTTTAGTAAAAGTGAACCTTATTAAAAATACTGAGTTTGCTACAGGATATAGAGATGTCTAACTTAGAAATTAAGTTCTGGATTTGGATCCTGAAAAATGTGAATGCGTTTCTGAATCATCCAGCTTGAGGAGTTTGATTCTAGAAATTAAGTTAACGTATTTCATTAATTCATTGGTTAAATTTCATATGTGTTTACTGTAGTTATATTTAAACCTCAGCAATACTGCATCACTTTTATTCTTGTTAGTCAATCAATGTATGCAAGTATTTTTCAGTTTTCATATTCTCAGCTCATGTAAAACACACAAATCTCATCAGCTGCCATTCTCATTTTTAATCCTTCAGCAAGGTATGAAAATCCTATCATAATTGTTTTTAAATTCTCACATGAATTTGTTGCATGCAAAAGAAGAGTCCTTTATTTTTAAGATGCCTGTTCATGAAGGAACTAAAATTTCTGGATGAAAGAGCTTAATTGCTATTGAGCAATTGAATTAAAAATAAAATATTATTATTAGTTCAGCTTTTACAAGCTTCTTTAGTCTTTTACACAGTTCTTTAGTCATTGTCTTCAAGTTTGTGTTTTGATAACTTTCTTCTTGTTCTTAATGTTTAAAATTTTACCTTTTTCATTTCACTTATTGTGATAAAGTGGATAGATATTCCCATCAGCAGGCTAATTATTTAGGAGAACATCTAGTACTAGTAATAATTAAGTTACTAATTTCCATCTTAATTTTATTATTGATGGTTTGAAATTTCCTGTATTTCTGATAATTACAGGGCAATAAGAGGAATGGTCATATGGGTCAAATTCCATAACTTATTGAATTTAACTTTGGTGTTTGAAGTAGGGAAACTCTGCTAGAAGTACCTCTTACAGTCTCACTTCATTATCTTTAAGTTATCTTCAGAGAATAACCATTATATATCTTAGGACACACTGGCTGGCAGGGCTGTGTTATTATCTTGAACTTCACAGTCCTTGCAGTGGGTCAGGGAAAGCAGATGGGAACAGGTTTCTTTAGATTGAAGCAGCTCAGTCTGAAGAGCTGATAAGCACACATGCTTCATTTAAACAGGTTACTTATCAAATAAACACTGATATAAGCAAGGGGTTTTCATGCAAGCTTGACTTTGTCCTTGTTGTGGTATTTTCTCTTGATATTATGGCATTTAGGGAATGGAAGAAAGTGTGTACATTACAATCCCACTAAAAAAAAGCTCATTATCTACTTTGAACCAATGAGGGACTTGAGGAAAACTAAATTCCAGGGATTTGGGGTTTGAGGTGCTTACAGGAGCTGAGCAAAGTTGAGACCAGGCCAGCAGTTTTTTATGATTGGAATATGAGCTATTTATGAGCTATTTATGAGCTATTTATTTATGTTCCACTGAATGAGAGGCAAATGGGTACAGGTTGAGAGGCTGATTTACCAGCTGTAGAATACACTTAGCAAGACATTAGTATTACTAGATACTGAAAATCTTCATAATACACTTGAATACGCTTTAAAAAAGAGTGGTTTCCATCCTTTAAAATTGAACC